CAGGAGCAGTGGGATGGTGGCTCAGAAGCCCCTCCGTCTGGGCCGGGAGTGGTGGGACTCAGTACCTTGGTCTGGTGATCTGGTGTCCTCTATGCCTTGGTAATGTGGAATCAGGTGGCTGCCTGTCTGCAGTGGGGTGATTCGGTGTCTTCTGCATGACTCAGGACCTTGGTAGAGCGTGCATAGACCTGCCTGTCTGCAGCGGGCTGATTTGGCGTGCTCCGCGGGACTGGGGACCTCGGTAGGGTGTGGGCAGGCCTGCCTGTCTGCAGTGGGGTGATTCGGCATCTTCCGCGTGACTCAGGACCTCGGTAGGGCGTGCACAGACCTGCCTGTCTGCAGCGGGCTGATTTGGCGTGTGTTCCGCGCAACTCGGGTCAGCAATATTCTTAAAGTGTTGATTTATGTGTATTAAAAGTATTTTAATTGTGAAAATAAATACACATACATGATAAATATTTAAATAGTACACTAAAAAAGAGGCCTCATTCCCAACCCAGACAGTACTCCAAATACTCCTGTGCCAAATGGCAACCACTATTATTTCTTCTGGACTTTTTAAACAAAATCTATTCATATACAAATATATGAATATATACATATATATATATACACACACACACACATAGACAGGTAAACACATGTCTTTTTGTACAAAAATAGGAACATAATATACATATATATATATGGTTTAGTTATCTACTTTTTACATTCATTATCAGCACATTTGTAGCCTTAGCTGCATTTTTTCACTTTTTCTTAATTTTCTGTTAATTTTTAAATTAATAAAAACCATTTTATAAATGTTTCTGCTGATGCAGAAGCCTATATAGACAATAAAAAACCTGGATAGAATATAAAAAAGGCCTGCACAAATGGCCAAATTCATATAAAGCAATATACAGATAGGCAAATTCAATTCTAATACGTGGTGCTTAATTACACAAGATCTAAACAACTCAAATTGTTAGCATATGCAACTTGCTTCATCACTGCTTTGATTATTCAATGTTTGAAACTTTATATTTCAATCTAAATATGTAGATCACTTCTAATTTTTTAAAACAATATTTTCACTGGGTGTGGTAGGGCACACCTGTAGTTCCAGAACTCAGGAGGCTGAGGCAGGAGGATCACTGTGAGTTCAAGGCCAGTCTGGGCTACATAATGAGTTTAAGTCCAGCTTGAACTATATAGCAAGACCCTGTCTCAAAAAACAAAAACAAAACAAAAAAGAATATTTTCTGTGAAGTATTTGGTACCACATTAAAACTCTTATCCATTGCTTTTATGTGATGATCCACCCTCAATTCTCTTATGTCTAACAAGGTGTGGCGTCTTACTAGAGGTTTTCTAATATTCTTTAAATTCAGAATACATAATCTTTAGTCCAGTTATCAGATTTCCACAACTGATTTCATTCATGAGCTTTCTCCTCTAAATGAGTTTTCATATGCTTGGTAAGTGATATATTTTGTTTGAAGGCTTTCCCACATTCATTACATTTATAGGGTTTCTCTCCTGTGTGGGATCTCTGATGTATAACAAGTTGTGACTTTGCATTGAAAGCTTTTCCACATTCATTACATTCATATGGTTTCTCACCTGTGTGAGTTCTTTCATGTACAATGAGATGTGACTTTTGGCTAAAGGCTTTCCCACATTCATTACATTCATATGGTTTCTCCCCAGTATGAACTCTCTGATGTTGAGTAAGTCCTTCGATTTGTTTAAAGGCTTTCCCACATTGATTACATTCAAAAGGATTTTCACCTGTATGAGTTCTCATATGGTAAGTAAGAGATGAGCTATGTCCAAAGGCTTTTCCACATTCATCACATTTATATGGTTTCTCTTTTGTATGAGTTCTTTGATGTATAATGAGGTGTGACTTTTTGCTGAATGTTTTCCCACATTCATTACATTCAAAGGGTTTCTCACCTGTATGAATCCGCATATGTTTTGTCAGGGATGAGCTATACTTAAAACCTTTGCCACATTCATTACACTCATATGCTATTTCGCCTGTATGAGTTCTCACATGTTCAGTAAGAGATGAGTTATACCTAAAAGATTTTCCACATTCCTTACATTCATAAGGCTTTTCACCTGTATGAGATCTCGCATGTTGAATAAGGTTTGAGCTGTGTCTAAAGGATTTTCCACATTCACTACATTTGTAGGGCTTTTCCCCAGTATGAATTCTTAGGTGGTCAGTAAGGGCATGTTTATGACCATGGGCTTTGCCACACTGAACACATTCATATGGCTTTTCTCCAGTGTGAGTTCTCTGATGTACAACAAGGTGAGATTTCTGGCTAAAGGCAATTCCACATTCATTACATTCATATGGTTTCTCCCCTGTATGAGTTCTGTGGTGGTCAATTAGTCCTTGTTTATGGCTGAGAACTTTCCCACATTGATTACATTCATAGGGTTTCACACAAGCTTGAGTTTTATCAGTTTTAGTAGATGACTTCTCATGTTTCTCTCCCATTTGGAGTTTGTCTTTCTTAGTACAGGATGAACAATGATCATATAATTTTTCTTGTTTCTTGACAGTTTGAGTTTTGTCATATTTATCAAAAGAAGTATGGTTGGATAATTTATCATGTTTCTTTCCAACTTGATTTTTGTCTTTCTTTATATCAGATAAGCTATGCTTTAATGATTTCCTCTGTTCTTTAGAAACATCAGATTTCTTTTTTGCAGAGTATTTTATATGACCAGGTGAGTCTATATTCTGTTTCAAATTCTTTCGATGTGAATTAAATTTAAACTTTTTCTTTGAAGGACTATGTTTTGTACTCACATTATTTTTTTTCTCCAATGAAGTACACTCACCGCTTTTCTTCTTAGTTGAAGTTTTCTTGAATATAGTTTCCTTAATGAGTTTATCTTGAGATTTCTGGTTATTCTCTAACTGGTCATCATCTTGCTGAACATCTAAAATAGAATTCAATGACACATTCTTGTGAATTTTCATGAGAAATAGTAAAAGATAATTTTCGCTTGAGACTACTGTAAGGAAGTAGGATCCTTAGGAGACAGGTTGATTTTAGTTAAAACAAACAGGTGACAGAAATGGCTAAAGAGGTTGAAGATAAAGTGGAGTTTGCTAACAGGGAAGAGTGTTTCTGTAACAGTCATTGTTTGTTTTGTTTATTTTTTCCCATTAAGTTTATTGGTACATTTTAGGTATAAAATACAGTTACATTCATCATTGGGATCTTGTACCATTACATGAGTATCTTGGTTCTTATTTTTTTCCCCTTCCCCTGCCCTCCCTTCAACCCCTCCACCCTTCCCTATTTGCAAAGACTTCGTTTCCATTTTTTTTCCTTTTCTCATATTTTTTATTTTCCCTTTCCCCTACCCCTCCCACTTCCCCTGCACCTTTAGACCTTTTCTTCCTATTACACAATATCAATTATACATTTTTAAAATTACAATATCAAGATCTAGGAGATATTACCACAGATTCTACAGAATTTAAAAGGATATAGAAGGCATATTACAAAAATCTTTTTTGAAATAAATTTGACAACTTCTAAGAAGTAACTTGGAAGACAAATTAATGAAACTAACTCTGGAGGAAATATAAAATTTGAATAGTACCTATTAAAGAAAGTATATTCCTAGCTTGAAAACCTACCTACATGACAACAACAGGCTCATATACATTTTAACTGATAAATTATATCAAACATTTAAAGCAGAAAAAAGAAGGAACACTTCTCCCCTCATTTTAGGAACTCAACATTGTGCTAATCCTAAAACTGGATAAAGATAATACAAGAAAAAACTATGAACATAGATAGAAATTTGTTTAACAAAACAAACTATTGGAAGTCAGATCTGGCAGGATGTAGAAAGTGGTTTTATTATAGGGATGGCAGAGTTGGTTCAGCATTGGAAGATCCACCCCCAAAAGTCACCATTTTAACAGAGGAAAGGAAAAGGCCATATGATCCTGTCACTAGTTGGAGAAATAGTATTGGACTAAATTCTACAGCTGTTCATGGTAAAAGCTATCAGGAGACTAGAAGTAGAACAGAATCTTCTCAACAGATTAAAGACATGTACTCCATACTTCCAGTGAGAACGCCTTATACGAATGGAGAAGATACAATGCTTTCTCCTTAAGGTGGGGAACAAGGGCAGATATGCTTACTCTTTATCTGTCCATTAAACTTTGAAACCTAGGCCCCACCAAAATAGTCTGGCAATAAAATGACACAATTAGGATAGGATTGGCAAGGTAGAAGCAAAATCTTTATATGTAGATGAAATGATCATCTACAGAGAAAATACTAAGAAATCTCTAGGAGCCCCTAGAACTTGTATTTGAATTTAGGAGGATTAGAAAACACAAGGTATATATAAAAATTCAGGTCTGTGTATACTTGCTATAAATGAAGAATTGGATATTGAAATTTAAAAGTTATGTAGGAGTACAAAGGACCTAGAAAAGTTAAAAAAAAAAAAAAGAAGACAAAAACAGTGTTGGAAGACATTTAGTACCTAATTTTAAGACTTCTTCTAAAGCTACAGTAATCAAGGCAGTGTTGGTGTAAGGAAAGACATACAGATCATTGGAATAAAACAAGAGAATCTAGAACTAGAACCACACATATATGGTCCACTGAGTTTTGAAAGATTATTTAACATTAGCATTTTATAGGATATAAACTCAATTCAAGAGCCGAGAAAGAGATAGTGTTTTCAGCAAACGGCGCTATGTTTGTTTGGTTTTTTTGGTACCGGGGATCGAACTCAGCTCCTTGCGCTTGCGCGACAGGCGGCGAAACCACTGAGCTAAATCCCCAGCCCCATTTGTACCATTTATAAGTAGTGATTTTAAGAGTTACCATGTGGTTACACTCACACTTTTTTCCCTTTGCCATGAGACCAGAATTTTCCAAACAGGAAATGTTCTTTTAGCTTAGATCCCCAGTAAGCTGAGGGATTTGGGACCATTCCTTTAAAAAGCAAAATTTAGTCTAAGCTAACTAATAGAAATTGTGTAATCAAACTCTCATAAGCAACACTGGCTCACTAGTACAACTGACCTCACATGAGAGCCTCTTGCATACAGATTAATAGAAGGAAGACATATTAGAATCTCCAAGGCTCCAAGGCTCAGAAATCTTTGTAGTTTGAACTCTTCTTTCCCTAGGAGATACTGATATTTTTCTACTGCTATTTCCTGGGTAAGAAAAACTTGTCTGAGATCTTTAAGATTTAAGAATAAAAAATTCTTTGAACAATTCCATAATTACCACCAAGAAACCAAAAACTCACTTCCACTGGCTCCTGTTTGCTTGGGTCTTGTTAGTTTACTGAGATGATTTTGACTGGATCTTTTCCCCTTCCCTGACCATGCCCCTTCTTCTTTTTCCAACTTGCAGATGTCTGGTTTGGGAGCTTGATAACCTATTCATAGGAAATAGTAGAACTTGAGTATTAGAACAACAACCTCAGAAATCAAGCCCTACTGTTTCCACTTTGGGGTCTTTCAAGAATACACGGCTTCCAAAAAAATAAAAAGAAGAATACATGGCTTCAGGGCTGGGGATTTAGCTCAGTGGTGCCACCGCCTGTCTCAAAAGCGCAAGGTCCTGAGTTCGATCCCTGGTACCACACACACACAAAAAAGAATACATGGCTTCTGAAGTTTCACAATGTGGAAGCCCATTTTTCTCACCTGAGTAGATCTGTTTTGGAGACATTGGTGCAGGTATCCTGCCCTGTAACCAAAAGAAATTAAAACTCTTTGACCCCCCAAATTAAGGCCAAATTCATTTAAGGACTTCAACAAGAAGGCACCAGAGTGAATACATTTTGAATTATAAGGGATTGTCCTTACCTATTGAGGCTAGGTTGCTGTAGTTCTCCAGCATTACATCCTTGTACAGGTCCTTTTGAGCAGGACCCAGTTTCTCCCATTCCTCCTGAGTAAAGGCCATAGTCACATCTTTGAGTGTTACCGATGCCTGTAATAGCATAGTCCAGTTCAGTCTAGTTTTACCCATATTCAGTGAATGATTTGTACAAGATAATTTATTCTTACCTTGACCACTAACTGTTGACCATCATGGTCTGTAGCAGTGGTGGTACACATACCTATGGCACACATAACCGCCACTAGTTGTTTGTTATCATTGAAAGCTCTAAGAGGTTCACCATCATTGGTCTATAGGATACCTATTCTCTGCCTAGTAATATACTTTTTAAAAAATATTTATTTATTTATTTATTTATTTATTTGGTACCAGGGATCGAACTTGGGTCCTTGCACTAGCGAGGCAGGTGGTGGAATCACTGAGCTAAATTTCCGGCCCTAGTAATGTACTTTTAAAAAGAAACAAAAATCATACTAACAAATTTGCCTATTATAAATTTGTTTGAGGATAAAATCATATGAATATTGAAAGAGAAAGAAAGAAAGGGAGAGAGAAGGGGGGGAGGGAGGAAGGAAGGAAAAGAAAGAAAGAAAGAAAGGAAGGAAGGAAGGGAGGGAGGGAGGGAGGGAGGGAGGGAAAGAAAGAGAAAAGAGACAGAGGGAAGGGAGGGAAGAAACAGCCTTTATCTTTTATTCTGTAACAATGGATAATTAAAGGCTATGAAGTAGACTCTATAGTCTATAGAATTCAGAGATAAAAGAATTGAGACTTGATTTTTATAATTAGTCAAAAACAATTTATGCTTGGAAACAAAAGTAAAACATCTTAGGCAGACACAGATGCAGAAATTATACTACTTACATGCTTTAGATATAAAGAGAGAGGGGGGTAAGGGAGAAAGAAGCAAAGGAGAAAAAGAAGAATCTTTTTCTTTCTTTTTTTTTTCTTGGTACCGGGGATTGAACTGTGCTTGTGAGGCAGGCGGCAGAACCACTGAGCTAAATCCCCAGACCAGAAGAATCTTTAAAAGAAAAATTGGATCAGAATAAAATTTTAATATTGGGAAAGACTAAATATATGAGAAAGCTATGAATAGTAAAGCCAGTAAAATGTCTAGTTAAATCTAAGTACTTTGATAATGTGCCTGTGGAACTATTAAAATATCCTTAAAATCAAGAAACCTTATGTAAGAAAAATAAATATGAATGTTACTGAGAGGGGTAGGAGGCAGAGGAGAAATTAAAGCATTTTGAAGCTCTCTTATGCAGCTGAGTGAAGGAGCTATTGGAGAATTTTTATACCAATAAACGTACATTTAAACATGTTTATTGGACATTTAAAGATAATCTCTCATCCTCATAGACCACCAACTAATTACCTGCATGCATCAACCTCTAGTCACTGACTCCTAATAACGGCATTACTGACTGTCACTCACCTCCCAATCAGTGAACTGGCACAGCACTATTAATCATCAAGCCCCAAATTCCAAAACGAGCAACTCCAGCAAACCTCCCAAGCTCTACAGGACACACAGATCTCAATTTCCCATGATCCTTAAGTCTTTCATCCCATCCATCCTTGATCAATGATGCCAAAAGAACTCTCAAACAATGGCTGTTACAGAAACGCTCATCCCTGTTAGCAAACTCCACTTTATCTTCAACCTCTTTAGCCATTTCTGTCACCTGTTTGTTTTAACTAAAATCAACCTGTCTCCTAAGGATCCTGCTTCCTTACAGTAGTCTCAAGCAAAAGTTATCTTTTACTATTTTTCATGATCTACGTAAGGTAAATGATTACCTCAACCTTTTCTCAAATCATCTTCAAAATCCCTTTAGAGTATCACCAGACTTTAATCCATTAGTCTTCCTTGGTTCAGTGATTCAATATGAAAGGTCACAGGATTCATCATATAGCTGTATTTATAGCTAAGATTTATTACAGCAAAAGAATTCAGAGCAAAATCAGCTAATCAGCATGGTATGAACTCCAGACAAAACCAGGCACAAGCATCCAAGGGACCTCTCCAAATGGAGGCATGTTTAATTCTTCCAGAAGTGAGTTTTGGTAACACATCTAAAATACTGTCTACCAGGCAACAGTTAAGGATTGGCTTCAGAGCCACCTAGGGGATTGGTGAAGCACATTTCTGGGTGTGGCTGGGTGGGTCATGACCTTTGGTACTGTATGTGGTCCCTGGCCCCTTCCTTTCTGGTATTGTTCCTCGCTCTGCTTTCTGGCCACCATTAAGTGAACAGTTTTGCTCCTTCATTCCCTTCCACCATGTTGCTTCTGCCTTGGAACTAGCCAACCCTGGACTGAAACCTCTGAAACCATAAGCCAAATTAAGCCTCTCCTTTAGTACTACTCAGCCACAAAGAATGATAAACTAGAGACATTTATAGCTAAAAGGATGGACCTTGAGACTATACTCTTAAGTGAAATAAATAAGACACACTTGTAAATACGGAATTGTTTCTCTGGTTTGAGAAACTGAAAGTGTGAGGACCAAAATGTATAATTGTTATTGTGAAATGGGAAGAAAAGGTTCAAAGGGGAAGGAGAACTAGGGAGGGGGCGGTGGGGGAAAGGAAAGGAAAAGAAAAGAAACAAATAAGAGAAGAAGGAGAAAAACAAAAACAAAGCTTTTGTAAATAGAGAGGGGTGGAGGGGTAGAAGAGAGGGAAAGGAAATGGAAAAAAACAAGAACCAAGATATATCATGTAGAGGTACAAATTCCTAATGATGAATGTGATCATAATGTATACCTAAAATGCACCAACCAACTTAATGAATAAAAAAAATAAAAATAAACCTCTCTTTTAACTCCAGATGTTGGACATTTTGTCCCAGTGATGAAAAAACTAATATAATCAGGAAAGTTCATAAGAAACTCGGTGCTCAAGGTTTTTACTGGGGACTTGATCCTGAGGAACCCTCTGCATAGGCTTACAAAAATTCCATACTCCTGCAGAAAAGTAGCACAAACTATACTGCCAAATCTCATTAGCTAAAGAGAGCCACTTATCAATTCTGAAAACAGTACGAAACACTCCTAAAATCTAAAATCTTGATGCCAGCAATAGGTCAACCTTGCAAGCAGCCTTGTCCAAGCATATCAGTCCTTGTCCCTCTTCTGTTCCCCCCCTACCTGCCTTCTCTTCCTAGATGATCTCATGGCTTTAAATACCATCTTTATGCTGCAACCTGTCATATATGGTTTCCTAGCCCAGGCTTTTCTTATGTTCTATATTCATATATCTAATGGCTAATGAGCATCTCTACTTGGATGTGTAATGAGCAACTTAACTGGTTAAAACAGAACCACTGTCATGAACCTTTCCCATTTCCTTCCACTAATCTGATCTTCAACACTACACTTTCTCAGAAGATGAAATCACCATCCATCCCATTCCTGAGTCCAGAAGTCTAGATGTAAAGCCTGATTCTTCTCTTCCTTTATGATCCATATCAATTCATCAGTAAGTCCTATAAGCTTATGTCCAATGTATTTTGAATGATTTCTTTTCATTTTTCTGCTACAATCCTATTCTAAATTATCATCATCTCTTGCCTTTGACTATTTCCATAAACTTCTAACTGACCTTTTTGTACTTACTTTGGCCCTTTGCAGTCCATCTTCCTCAGAGTAGACATAGTGATCTTTTTAAAGTATCAGTCATATCAGAGTGGGCCTGCTTAAATTCTCACTGTAATTACAATAAAATCCAAATTCTGACCCTAGTCACTAAGATCTAATAATTTAGTTAATTTAATAATTCTTACCACTTTGATTTCACATCTTTCTACTTTCCCTCTGAGTATGCTCCAACAACATTAATCTTCCTCCTGTTTCTTAAGCACCTCAAGTTAACTCCTACCTCAGGGCCTTTGCAGTTGGTGTTCCTTTTACCTTGAACACTATTTCTTCAAATCCCTGCATGACAACCTCCTCGTCATCATTTACATCAAGCCTGTCATTTCCTCAGACAGGTTTCCAGGACTAAATTGGCTAAAATCACATACACCCTAATTGTAATAACTCTCTACCACATTATCTCTTTTACTTTTTTCATACCACTTATTATCGTATTTGTTTATTTTTTGTCACTTTCCTATTTTGAGACTGCAAAAATATTGATGGAGGGCCGAGGATTTAGCTCAGTGGTTTTGCCACCTGCTGTGCAAGTGCAAGGACCAGAGTTCAATCCCCAATATTGAGGGAGAGACTGTGGCTCTGTTTCCTAATGTATCCAGCACTTAAAACACTCCTTAGCATCAAATAGGTATTCATTTTATAATCTGTTCCTACAGGTTTCCAAACACTGACATCCAACTATTCATCAACCACTAACCTTTGCAAACTTCCATTACTTATAGAACCCAAGTATTTCCCAAATAGCATTATGACAGATCAGTCATGAACCTCCATAACACTTTAATCACTGACCCCTACAGAACCTTCCATCACTAAACCCTGCAACCCCCTAAACCCCTGGCCCCCCAGGATCCTGTCACAGAAAGGTAGAAGACCTTTAATCATCAATTCCTACTAACCATCTCATCACTAAAAGTCCAATGGATACCACCTAATTATCATTGACCATCTTTTCTTCCCAAATGACTTACAATCATCTGTCATACCCACAGACCCCTCAAAACTGACTCCCTACATTCCACAAACCACTGTCCTACCCCATACCCAGGTTCCCCCTCTACTCATTTTAGCACACCAATCACTGGCTCTCAAAGACGCTGCTAATCAGACTTCCACAAACATTACCACCGCTGACCCTCCAAGGCCCCAATCTCTGACCCTTACTCAATTCTCATCACCCAACTCCTCAAACTCCCCAACACTGCCCTCTTTAACAGTCCAGTCAGTCTCTAACCACCCCAGGTACCCATACTCGCTGGTTCCCAAAGACATTCTAAATCAGTAAGCCTCACGGACCTTCCCAACCTCTGACACATCACAAAGCTCCATTTCTCATCCCCTAGCTTTCTCAGTCCTGACCTGTCAATGCCTCCCCCCAACACTATCTCCGCAGATCCCCCAAAACACTGTCTCCTAAAAGAAGCAATCCCGGGCTGGGGATTTAGCTCAGTGGTTTCGCCGCCTGCTACGCAAGAGGAAGAACCCGAGTTCGATCCCCGGTAAAAAAAAAAAAAAAAAAGAAGCAATCCCTGACTCCATACACCCTTATTAGCACCGACCCAGATCCCTCACAACACTGACCTCCGAAAAGACTCTCCATCATCGACCCCAGCAATTCCCAAAACTTGCCTTCATAGACTACAGAAACCTGCCAATCACTGACCATCTCTGAGAGTCAAACTGCCCATGACTCATTACCGCCCTCACCGCGCCGCGGCCCTCGGGCTTGCACACAGCCATCTCCGGTGGATGCCCGGCCTCGTCAGCCGTTCCCGCACTCTTCTGGTCCATAGTCTCTGGCTTTGTCAGGATCCGGTTGCAGCGGGAGGCCGACATGGCGCCCAGACCCAGCGCAGCCTCAGCCGGCCCCAAGGCCGCGATGGCGGCGCCCTTAGTGCCTGTGGGTGCGGCCATGTTGCGACGGCTCCGCCGTACAGCCGAGGCGCGGGGAATTCTGGGAGGCTTTGCGAGGGTCGGGGAGCGGCGAGGCAGAAGCGGGTGGAAACTGCTCAGTTACACTCACCGCGGAAAAAGGCTGTGCCCGACACCTCGGTGTTGGTGCTCAGATGTTTCACCTTAGTAATTCTATTTACAGAATCAAGAGTTGCTTTTCCTAATAAGTCAGTACAGCCGGAAAACTCAGGAATCACTACCTAGTGTGGACTTCAGAGAGCTAATGATAAAAGCAATAAGAGGGAGAAAAGCCCAATCAGACAAATAACATAGTTTTATAGGGAGAGGATGTTACTCTTTGGGATACTTGATAAATCCTTTCATTTATGGTATAAGAACAATGAGGGAAAAAATGAAGCAGCAGGTTAAGTGAACACACTACTCTTCTGTCGGAGCTCTGGTTTGGTAGGGGAGATTTCAGCAGAATAATCAAGCAAATGGGGCAGAAATAATTTCCTAATGTGCTCTTTCACACGTTCACTGCATTCACTGAACAATTATTTGATGAGCTTTTATTCAACTATGTACAGTTGAGGTACTGTGATATGCTGGGTACTGGAGCATGAACGAGAATGACGCAGCCTGCCTTCCCTTGCTGTGAGGCGTACAGATTTTCGCACCTGTTTTGCATCTTCTGCTTGGGTGAATAAAGGATGGCTAGTGATTGCATCTACTGTCCTTGTCCTCAATCTTTTATCTGAATATAGGTCATAGTACTTCTTCACAGAGCTCATAAGATTGCCTATATTCAGGACAGGTTGTGCCTAGCCTCCCTAAACTATCATTCATCTTTCTCTTTTCTTTCTTTTTCTTTCTTTCTTTCTTTCTTTCTTTCTTTCTTTCTTTCTCTTTCCTTTCTTTCTTTCTTTTTTTCTTTTTAAAAATTTTTTGTCCCACAAATCACAGTGGTATGTTTCTATTTCTTTTAAAACAATCACAACATTTTCCCTTGGTCTTTTGGCATCAACCCTAGGAGCTAGCAAAGTGCATTATAAATTAAATATTATGATAAACAGACTTTTAATATGACCCCCACTATCTCTGTCCTCTGGTGTTAAATATTCTTTCAATAGCCCCCCCCTTTGGTGCAAAAGAAAGCTGTGATTTGAGGAAATACCATGTTAGTGACATAATCAGGTGAACCTTTAAGAGACTAGACCTTTCTTGAAGTCACAGATCCCAAATGTGGGAGGGTATATGGAGGAGGCCACATCCCAAGGACCTGAGTGCAGACCCTGAGAGCTGATAGTGTTTATTTTCTGCACCTAGCAAAGCAACAAGGGACTTATTCCTACAACTGCAAGGAAATATCTGCCAATGAATGGAGACAGGTGGGAGCATATCTTTCTCTAAGGGAACATCTAGAGTAAGTCACAACCCAACTAAAACCTTGATTTCAACTTTGTAAGACACTGAGCGGAGAACCCAGCAAACTTGGGGAACATTTGCCAGAGAAACAGAGCCAATGTTGTATATAGAGAGGGTATATAATGGGATTTATTATGAGAATTGGCTCATGCGAGTATGGGGGCTAAAAAGTTCTACAATTTTCCATCTGCCATTTGGAGAACCAGAACAGCAGGTAGTGTAATTCAGTGTCCGAAGGCCTATGTGGAGGATGGAAGAGAGCTGGCGTAAGTCCCAGAACCCAAAGGCTTCAGTGTCAGAGGGCAAAAGATCAAAGTCCCAGCTCAAGAAAAAAGAGAATTCATTCATCCACAGCCTTCTTTCCTATTAGGCCATCAACAGAATGAATGATGCCCACTCACTGTTGTAACTAATGACATGGTCACTGTCTTCCCTCAAACACCTTCACAGTTATATCTAGAAAGGTTTTTTTTACCAGTTTTATGGGCATCTTTTAGTTTAATAAGTTAACACATAAAATTAACCCTTACATCAGCCATACCATGCGCAGACTTCCAATTTCTAGAAACTGTGAGACGATAAATTAGTGTTGCTTTAATTCCCTGAAGTTGGTGATAATTTGTTACAGAGTATCACCATCTTTCTAGGTTTGAGCAATTGCTTCTTCTCCTCCTCAGATATGATCCTGACTTTGTTTCTGATATTTACCCCCATCAGGTCTAAAGTCCACATTTTTATTTTTATTTTTATTTTTTTGGTACCGGGGATCGAACTTGGGTTCTTGCACTTGCACAGCAGGTGTCGAAACCACTGAGCTAAATCCCCGGGCCCCTAAAGTCCACATTTTTAAAGAGAGGTTTCTGTTTCCTATTTCCTCCCAGATAGAGAGACAAGCCAGATTCTCCAGTCTTCTTCTTTTTTTCTTCTTCTTCTTTTAACATCAGTTTTCCCTCACAAGTCTGAACAAATTCCAACATATTTACAAAAAAAAAGCCATTCTAAATCTTAAATTTTCCAAGCTACTTTGATTCTAGTAATTGACTGGCTTCTGCAGGGACCCTTTAGCAGAGGGAAGGATGGGATTCAGGGAAAGAGGTGGGTGGAAAACCATAGAAAAGGTAAAGGTAAAGATGTTCCTTGCACTGAAGAGGAAAAGCAAGGAAGACGGAAGTTGGAAAGAGTAAATGGAGGAGGGAAAAGAGGTGGTTTAAACATAGGATGGTGACTAGCAATTTTTCGATTTACTGACGAGATTCAATCACAACACAAGGCAGAGTCAATCAATACATTCCTAGTTCCGGATAAAAATAGAAACTCTTGTAGTTTAACTCATTTGTAAAGACCATAAAGATCAATGTGTGGGTTGTATATTTATGTGTGAATTTTTGCATATAATAAGACATTTTCAAGCGAGTAAAAAATAATAATATCAGAGAAACACCTGGACAATTGTGTATGCTTTTTATAAACTCTATTATCTCCTCTGATGTCAGCTGACTCTAACATACTACAGTTCTAGGTATCTGAGTTTCTAACTCTGGCTCTGGATTATGGGGAATTTTTTCAGGGGAGGATATGGTAGCGGGTTGAGACAGGCTCTCACTATGTAGCTTAGACTGCCTTTACACTGGTGATCCTCCTGCCTCAGCCTCCCAAGTGCTGGGATGACAGGGACACCACCGTGGTCAGCTGGGAATTTCTTATGGTGGTCTCTAGGAAACAATCCTACAAACTAATTTTGTGTGAAGTGCTTCCCCATCCATGCATTCATACAATAGCTCATTATTCCACAATAACGAAGGGAGGGGGAACCCTAAAACAGGGTCTGGATTTTCCTGAGACAGAGGCTGGGGAGGCCATAAAGCTTGCTCCCGCTCCTGCTCACAGACCGGTAACCAGCAGGGATCCCGCGTGGCGAGTGCCAGCGGCCAGGCGAGCCAGGCGCCCGGCGGCGAGGCAGTGGGCAGCATGTCGCAGCCAGAGACACCCAGGTGGCTCCCGCGAGCCCACGGGTCGCCCAGGACCACCTCCAGAGCACCGTTGTGGTTGCAAACTCTGGCGACAGGGGTGGGCGGCGCTTTGAGGAGGCGGCCAGGCCTCAGAGGTGTCCCAGCTGCGCCTCCGGGCTGGGTCCTCCTGCCCTTAAAGGGCAGCGCTGAACAAAAGCTGCGCGGGAGACACAGCAGGAAGGGTGAGTCTGGACTTGGTCATTTGGGACTGATTTCCAAGGTCAGCGCCCGTCTCCCAACCCTCATCACCAGGCTGAACTCCGGGGGTCCCTTTCCTGATCCCGCGGGAGCCTGTGTCACTTCCGGGATACCACCGGAATCAGCATCGGCCTCCTCGCCCCAGTGTAGTTAGCTGCTCAGGCCAGCCCCCTCATCCCACCTCTCCAACCGCCCAGCTGGGAAACCTTCTCTTCTGTAGTTCTGTGGGCTTTGGTAGGCTCACTCTTGTCACCTATTCTCTGGCGGGGGATGGTCGTCTCTTAATCTTTCTTCAAGGTCGCCATTTTCTCTGTGGTGACTGCAAGGAGGCTGTCAAGGCTTCTGGGCCGCTTGTGCCTGGGAGCCCTGGCCCCTTGATCCCCTGTCTGCCTGTTGTCAGCTGTGGGTGAGAGGAAGTCATCACTCAATGGTCCTGACCTGTCTCTGGAAGTCATGAGGAAAGCTGATAAGGACAGCCCAAGAGTGACATACAATCAGGCATAGCATCGCCCTCCATTAGATCTTTCTCCACCTGTTCACACCTTCCAAACCCAGCACCCCAGAACCCAGATTTCCTTGTGATTTCTGATGTTCCTGAGCTGCCTAGCCTACTCCAGCGAGCACTCCTAAAATTCCAGACCCAGAGCCTGGCTTAACTGGAAGAGCCTCTAACCACAAGGAAGCAGGTCTTCACCTTGGGCTTGCCCTGCCATCTCTGGTGGTGTGGAGGGCAGTTAACTGGAGCCTGTTGCCTTAAGCAGACCTACCTTGTGTTTCCCCAGCGCATGCAGCCCTCTCCCAAAACCTATCAGCACAAAAAATAATCCAAAGCCCTACTTTGTCTCCTCCAAGAGCCCTCCTAGGTCCTGGGGAATCAAGTGCCTCTCTGTTTTCATTGCTTTGTCAACCTTCTTTCTTAAATGATGTTTCCTATGGAGCAATTGCTTCTATATTTCTGAAGGAGGGGGTCTATACTCTTGAGTTCTCACTGCCGGGGCTGCTAACACTTAAAAGTACCCTCCAGGGCTGGGAATTTAGCTCAGTGGTTCTGCCGCCTGCTTTGCAAGTGCAAGGACCCAAGTTCAATCCCCGGTACCAAAAAAAAAAAAGTACCCTCCATTTCAGGCTGTCACCTGACCCTCACTTCTGGCTGCCTCAATAGGCAATAATCACAGCCCGGGATTTAGCTCAGTGGTTCTACTGCCTGCCCTGCAAGCGCAAGGAGCTGAGTTCAATCTCTGGTACCAAAAAAAAAAAAAAAAAAAAAGAGAAAAACCAATAGGCAATAACCAGATGGGCAGAGGGGATGGATTTTTTTTTAAATCGCCAGGGTTCCCTAGGAGATTGTCCCAGGA